CGTGATATTTGTAGACCAGCAAGCATTTCCATCAATTTTAGCTGCTGTTCCATTAGTTTCTCTAAATGCAGTGGGTCCATCTTCAGCAACCCGTCGCCAAATTTGTTATGTATGTGAATATGAGGACCTTGTAGACTACGAGCGAATCTAACTAATGCGTTGGCTAATCTGTCTTAATCGCACGTCAACAACAACAACAATAATACCGCCGGCACGCAAGACAAATAAAAGAGAAGACTGGACGTTGATATGAGAGCTGTCTAACTGTCTCAAACAACAGTCCAAAATGTTAAACAAAACTCCGTATTTATACAATTAGGAAAATCAATGTCACATTTTAAAAATATTAACAAACCCTGGGAATTCAGTAATTTAAATCAATAATCACGCAGATGCGTGAAATCAATGATTATGCTAGTGTGGGAAATAAATACTGAATATTAATGATTCACCTGTGTATATATTAGTTAAAAACTAAAAAAGTGGTAGGACCAGATGGAATCTGAGCAGAAGCATTTAAAAAAGGACCCAGAGACATCGGCGGACTTGATGACACTACTATTAGAGAAGGTGTGGAAAGAGGGCAAGGTACCTACGGATTGGAAGAAAGGCTACTTACTCAGACTGCCAAAGAAAGGAGACTTAGGTCAATGCAAGGAGTGGCGCGGCATTATGCTCTTGTCCCTCCTAAGAAGGATACTAAGCCGCATCATAGTGGAGAGAATCAAATGCACCCTGGGTGAAAAACTTCAACCGGAACAGGCTGGATTCAGGAGAAACAAATCATCTATTGATCAAATTGCCACACTACGTATCATCATTGAAAAGAGCTCGGAATGGCAGTCAGCTCTCTATCTCAACTTCAAAGACTTTGAAAAGGCATTCAGCAGACAGTATCGATAGAGAGGTGATTTGGCAACTACTCCGCTACTACCAAGGCGTGCCGCCAACAGCTATACATCTCACCCAAGAGTTGTACGACAATGCTGCATGCCAAGTAATCCACAACAGGAAACTCACGGAATCCTTCGAAGTGAAGACGGGAGTAAGACTAGGTTGCCTACTGTCTCCAATGATTTTCCTGATTGCGGTAGACTGAATAATGTGACAGAGAGTGGCTGGCAATAAGGAGACAGGCATAAAATGGACCCACAGAAAAAACTTGGGGGATCTGGACTTCGGTGATAATATATGTCTGATTTCCCACAAACTGGAAGATATGCAAGTGAAGAGCAACAAGTTGACAGAAGAAGCATCCAGATAAGATACAACTTCAGGTAAACATAGAGAAAATAGAGGTGATGAAGATTCCTGACCAACGGCAACAGTAACAACAACAGACAACATTCACAATAAATGGAAGGAATCTGAAAGAAGCAAGCTCATTTACTCACAGACCAGGGAACCATCGTTTTAATTAAAGGTGGACGGAACTGATGAGTATATCAAGGTGAGGATCGGGAAAGCAAGGCAAGCTTTCATTTCTCTCATATCTGTGTGGAGGTCAACAGCACTCAGCATGAAAAATAAGATCCGGATTTTCAACTCTGATATAAATTCAGTGCTACTTACTATACGGATCAGAGTCTTGGCGCCGCGTCACGAAGGCCAGTTCTAACGAACGACAGACCTTCATCAACAGCTGTCTTTGCTCAGTACCACTCAACAACAGATGGCCAGAAAAGACCAGCAACAGGGATCTCTGGCAACGAACCAACCCAGCAGGAACCAATTGTGCAACAAATATGTAGGAGGAAATGGAGGTGGATTGGTCATACTCTGAGAAAACCATCAAGTGATATCACACGCCAGGCCATCGCTCGAGGGGAACCCGAATGGGAAACCGCCAGTTGGTCATAAGTACTAAGGTGACATAGAGGAGGTTACGTGAAGAGATGAAAGTATGTGGGCCGACACGGTGCCAGGTGAAAACGTTGGTGGAGAACCAAACGCAATGGAGACGTGCAGCTTAAGCCCTATGTTCCTTAAGAAATTAAAGGAAACAATAATAAATTATAGTAATAACAAGCTTCAAGACTCGAAGTTTCGGTAGCAATGTTAATTTGCGGAATATAGTTGTTAGTCTCACGCACAACTTTCCCTCCTTTCTGGCTCACTATAGGCTAGAAAAGCTGTTGAGGCTTAGGAATGTGTCGACTAGGAATCCAACATTAACCTTCCATGTGGTTAGTGAGCATTCTGCTATTGAACCACTGTCGCATTAAATCAATCAGAACTGAACATTTGTTTCGTTCTCCTTCATTGGGACACTTCCTCGGAGATCCTACCCAACAACTTCACGTTACGAGGAAAGCCGGTTGACTATCCAACCGCACAAAGACATGAATACAGTTAGACGAAGTAGTCAGAATTATTGGAAAGTTAAATTTCCCATTACTTTTCTTGATTACATGATATTGATTTTTCCATTCAACTACCTGTCTTACTAGTGTAGCTTAAAAGTAGACACTTTATTTTGTCAATGTAATAGGAAAAATATGAAAGACAACAAACATACTACTTAATAAAAATCAGTAGTATAGTTCGGACAACTTATTCTAAAGCGATTATTTACATCGGAAACAGTTGTCTTTCACAAACCTAAACAATGAAGATTAATACTTGTTTTACAAAACACCACTTATGATATAGTAGGCAAGTGACTACAGTTCATAAGTTTGAATGGACAGGCAAAGCCACCACTTTAAATTTTAGATCAAGGGGAATATCACATCATTGTTAAAGTAATCTGAAATAGATGGACGTGTGTGCTGTGCGGAAGTTTGCTCCGTCCTACTTTGCGACTATAAGACCTGACATTTGGAAGTTGAAGATATGAAGAAGTTAACAGTTTTTATTCTTAGATATATCCTTTCATTCTGTCTTCTTGGGTCCCAGGCTTACAATAATGCTAAGCTAACTTTGAACTATGCGTCACATCTATAGACGTGGTTGGTAGTCTGCTACATGCTTTAATTGAGATTTCACAATTCAGTTATCTTTCTAGACATTTTGGTATATGTCCTGACACCCTCACATTCAAAGTGTCATAATTCTTCTCTATGTATATGTGACAACCCGGACGCACATGTAAATTGATATGCAATATGAGTGTGACATAAACAATTGTTTAAATGTTGAAGCTTGTGGTATATCATGTTTTCGGCTTTCTCGATAATTATAAGCCTGGTGGCTTGAACAAGTTTTACGTATGACAGAATTCAGGCTGTCTTAAAATCTCACCATTAACTTCCCTGTTGTAAGGTACTTTGATAGACATTTTTCATTGGGGCATATTAAACTGGAGCCTTTGGAAGTAACTAACCTCTACACCGGTTCACAAACTTCAAAGGAAATCCGTTTACGACAAGTTTATCCGCCAATATTTTATTCTTGTCATGTATGCTTAATCCTCTTAAATGAGCATTCAACCAAGCCTCTCTTCTATTCTAATGGAGAGGAACCGTGAAAATTAAAACCCTACCATGTCCAAGTTGGTTTTCTGTAAATCGATAGATTTTCTTAGTCATTCTCTCGCCTCCCCCCTCAAAAGTATGTCTACGAATGCAAGTTGGTTGCGTCCTTCCGTTTCGCACTTAAGACAGATGTGGTTTTGTACACAGCTAAGTCTATCCAGTGGATAAATTGCGTTTCCATGCTTATTGCATATCACAAAGAATTTCATTAACTTATCTCCTATGAAAATGCTCCGTAGCGATCAAATCACCAGCCAAATTTTCAAGCGAAGACATATATTCATCAGCCAATAATAGTGCTAATAGACACCTCATAGCGATGCCATCCAACTGTCAAAAGTGTTCACCTTCAGAAGTGAAATAAAACGGATCTACATATTTGTCCACTGTAGTATTGTTACGTCTTTGTTATCTTATTTTATGAATACCTTAGGAGAAGTGTGATAACTTAACCTGATACACACTTGTTTCAAATTCCTTATTAATCACTAAGTTCATTATTATATTATTATTATTGTATCCTTTAATTCATACAGGAACATAGGGCTTCAGCCGTGCGTCTCCATTGCGTTCGGTTCCCCGCTAAAGTCTTTACCTGGCTCCATGTCTTCCCACACGTTTTCATCTCCTCTTCACATGACTTCCTCCAAGTCACCCTTGGACGACCAACTCGCCGCTTCCCTTTCGGGTTCCACTCGAGCAATGGCTTGTCTAGTGATGTCACCTGATGGTTTCCTCAGAGTATCGCCAATCCATCTCCATTTCTTCCTACCTATTTGTTTCACAATCGGTTCCTGCTAGGTTGGTTCGCTCATTGCCAGAGATCTCTGTTGCTGATCTTTTCTGGCCGGCCATCTGATCTTGAGTATTGAGCGAAGACAACTGTTAATGAAGGTCTGTAGTTTGTTTGAGATGCTCTTTATGACGCGCCAAGTCTCTGATCCCTATAGCAAGTAACACTGACTTAACATTGGAGTTGAAAATCTTGATCCTATTTTTGATGCTGAGTGTTGTTGACCTCCACACAGACTTGAGAGTAATGAAAGCTTGTCTTGCTTTTCCGATTCTTGCTTTGATATTCTCGTCAGTTCCGTCTGTCTGTAGTTGAAAGGATGCTTCCCAGGTAGGTACGTAAAAGAGGTTGTTTCTTTCAGGTTTCTCCCATTTATGCTGATTGTTGTCTGTTGTTGTTGTTCTTGCCCAGGAATCTTCATCACCTCTGTTTTATCTATGTTCACCTGAAGTCCTATCTTTGATGCTTCTTCTGCCAACTTGTTGCTTTTCGCTTGCATATCTTCTAGTTTGTGGTAAGAGAGAGAGTCGTCGCTATGAAGCTACATTGACCACCAAACTACCCACTAAAGTGGAATTCACTATCCCAGCGAAATTCTAATTTATCTTCTCCTGAAAGAAAAACAATTATTCACTACTCCTGGTTATTAATCATTCACAAGAACAATAAACACTTTACAAAGATAAATAAAAGTTTTACTGTTTAGAAACAAAAGAACGAAAATTACTCACTTGCATTATACGAACATAATCTGCACGATGCATTTCACTATCACGGGCTAATTTTTGTCTTAATCCAATTACAGATCGTTCAAGATGTTCTCTTTGTCTTGAAAATTCTTTTTGAATATCTGCATCAGCTGAAGCATCAACAGCCTAAAATTTATGAAGGATCAAGTGATAAGAAATAGTTTTAATCATAATGATCAACTTTATCAATATCTTCATAGTGATCGCCATAAAACAATCACTCACATCTTCCCTATATATAATATTAGGGTACACTTGTGGACAGTTGGAGCAGGATATTCGTAAAGTGACGATAAAGGACGTTTTTCTCAATGATCTTATGAGCCGATTTCTAAGGACTTCACTCTCAAAGTCCCCCCTAAATTTTAGGTTTAGAGGCTACACTTTTTAACTACTTTGTCCTTTTGTGTATTTCTCTCATGTAATTTGCTACTGGCCTCTTTTAAGCGTACTGGATACACACTCTTTGTGAAGGCTTCTTTCAACTGTTTAAGTCCATCATCAACACTGTCTTCACTAGAAATTCTCCAGATCCATGTGCTAACGAACAAATTAAATTCCTTTTTCTGTCTATAGGAATAACACTGTAGAAATTGGTCAATTGTCCCAGCCACTTTGATTTTCTGTAAATAGATCTTTTCAACAACCCTTGCACCTCTCCTTATGAATTCCACATCAAGAAAAGACATTTATCCATCAGTTTCTTATTTCTAAAGTAGGATGACTCTCAATGAATACTTTCAGGATGTATTCCAAATCTCAGTTCTCGTTGCATATAATGAAAGAAATACAGAAAGAGAAAAGTAGCTAAAAAAAAGTGTTTCATCTAAACTTAGAATTTAGGGATGAATGACACTGAGAATGCAGTCCATAGAAATCGTCTGACAAGATGATTGAGAAAAAAGATTCTTTGCAGCCACTCTACGAATAACCTACTCTAGTTTGCACTGGTGCATCCTATTGTTAAGGAAACGTTACCTCGATTGTCCATTTCCATGTGCTGTTCACCTGGTCTTACAGAACCAGGTTCATCGGATGTTAATTGAGAAACATACCCCGCCGTGCTTGAGGGCGCCTCTCAGCTTGGCTTAGCGAAGGAGAGCGTAAAGGTACTAATCCATCGACACTACAATGTATAGTAGATACTGTCTACGCAGCATCTGATACATCCTTTATTATAATTTTTTAATAATGATTCACTGACTGACTGACTGAATTTCAACGTAGAAATTTGTACAGAAGTACAGCAGTTCAACTTACCACACTCCATTTAACACAAAAATAGAGAAGACAAAGAAAACAAGACAGTCAAAAGAACTACAATGAGCAGAAATGTGTAGGAAAAAAACAGTAACAAGGGAAAAACATAGCACATAACAAATAGTGAATGCATCTGTGCCACTGAGGATTGTTTTGAGCCATGTTGTGAGCCACTAGCGATCTCTAGCCATTAGTTCTTGCTGTACCGAGGACGCCAACCAGGCAGCCTACACCATCTGGATCAAACTAACAGTCGAAGACTTCATGGATTCATTCCAGGTTTTTTTTTATTTGACCAGCCCTAACTCTTTTCCAACCTAATCCAATGTCAGCTAAGTTTGCTCCATCAAGAAGGTTGTGGCTTGGCGTGCGGAACATGTGCCTTAGCTATTTCAGTCGAGGTAGCTTCACAAACTCATCGATTGACCCAACCTCCTTACCTAACAATCTATGCCTAACGTCAATATTGACCACCGAATTATACTACTTAGTACACAAGACAGAGTGGAAACATATTCAGTAGAAGAAAGCTTACAGTTTCAAGTCTCCCATTTTTCAATGACCATGTTTTTCATACACGGAGAACTGCTATGCAGTGCACACATGCTTAGGTCAATAGCCGGATATAACGTCTACGTCATACATGACATTTGCTCGCAAATACCACACCAGTCTTTCATTTATGATACGCTAACTGAGTCATTTGTTTTTTTAGGATATTTAGTTAACTGTTGCTTATGTCCCAGTTTGATTGATTTCATTGTAGACTTCTACATAAACCAAAATCATCTTTAAGATGTAAAGTAACGCATCCTGAACCGTTATTTTCTTCTAAGAAGTTCTCTGCCGTTAATTCACTCAGTCTAGATTCAGGATTATTCGAATTCGCGTCTCCCTAAACCTACTAGTATACATTAGAATTCAACCAACAGGTTAGAAATAAACGGCCTTGTAGTGCTAACTCTTGTTAATTCTTTATGCGAAGACCGATACCCAAAATAGGATATTGTTTGGTGATAGTGACATCTTGGGAAATAGCACTCGAATGAGGTCTAGCTTCCAGTAATTCTCTATCTTGTGCCATTTTACAATGAATACTACATTACCATTCATTCATCATAAAAATGTATGGCCACATTACAAACTTGACTGACAGAATTCACTCTGCACCAAACCAAACTAACAAGTGTCACATCCAAGTATCCAATACAGTCCTACAAGAGGTCAGTCGCTAGCACGTATAGCTTAGTGATAGTGTCTTTGACTTTAGCGCTGGGTGACAAGTGTTTATATCTCACGCAGGACGGGAGTTCATTCAAGATTATAGATAAGCCTTGTTGACGAGTGCTAACCATTACGAAACTTAGGTCGAAGGCTTCCTTCTGATTGTCCCCAACCATCTAATATCAGTAACTCATCATAAGTAGCTAAAACTCAGGTAGACCACTCAGTAATAATAATAATTTGCTTTTTTCCAGAAACAGTACTAGCGGTACAGTGTGGAATTTTCAGCACATATCTACAATATTTGTATCTAATTTTATCCAACGTTTAAAAGGAGTATTTTCATAAAATTAAGAAAATAAATAAATATAAAGACAACAACAGCAAAAAAAAACAACTACAAAAAACACGAAATAATTTTTAAAAATGCGAAAGAATACCAAGAAGTAGAAAGGAAAATAAATAACATACAATAATATCTCAGTATTGGGTAGTGGAAGCTATGATATGTTTATGTATGGTGACAGTAAAGCTATAGTCATACAAGAAGTTATGAAATGATATTTAGTAATATTTATTGCCAAGATGATCAGTTAATGTGATTGAACAACACTAAACAATCATAAAGTAACATTTCAGGTTATTTTGTTGTCAGGTATAATGCCGTGTTTGTGGTGGTAGTGTGAGTAATCCTGCATAATACAAAATTTTAAGATGGTGACAATGGCGTTCACAACCAATGATTGTCAGTTTAGTATTGCCGAATTAAAAAAACAAAACAACAACCACAAAACTAATAATTACATGATGGTTAATGATAGGACAATTTTGTATTACTCATTGTGTTAATATAGTTGGAACCAGTTGATACACAAAACAAGGAATAGAGTAAAGTACAAAAAGTAAGCCAGTGTTAATAATTTAGGTAGCTAAGTATGTTTAAGAAGGTGTTTACTATAGAATACAAAATAAGAGAGAAATAAAAGAGCTTAAAATTATGTTATTAACAACAAAGCAAGTCATAGGTTTCGCGCTTAACATTGTCTCTGTCACTTAGAACACGGGCCAAATATTTTTTAAAATTTTATTATAGCTTGATTCCACACCATATTTTGGCACAAGTATGGAATTTTCAGTACGTGATATCGGTGGCCCAAATTTTGCAGGCCGACCATTGATATCGGGTGTGCGTCGGTGGGAGATCGAACTCCAGACCATGTGCATGGTAGGCGAGAGTCCTGACCGCTGTGCCACCGACGCACTATGGTATCGTTGAGTTCCTGTACTTAGTTGTACGAACATATATTACTTAATACTGATTTCTGGTTCTACTTGATGAGATACAAGGCGAGAGTTGGGAATAGAGGGGGTGTTGGGGGTCGGAGAATATGGTTTTAGACCATTTTTCGCATGTATTCAGATGCCTATCAACTAAAGTAGTGACGAGCTGACTGAGATTTACACCACTAGTCCTACTAACTACCTTCAACATCCTTCTCAGGATGGTATAGTCCTTTTTCAGTAGACCAGGAAAGACTAACGGGGAGCAGTAAAGTAGGATAGGTAAGATACAAGAGTTGACAAATTGTGAAAGTAGAGGTTGGGTGATTCCAGATTGTCTAAGTTTCTTAATGTAGTAGGTTAGATAGAACACTTTCTTAGAAATCGTCAGGATATGAGATGCCCAAGTAAGGTCTGAAGACAGAACTAGACCGAGGTAGTACTTGTCAAGTCTCCATAGCGCTGAATGATAAGTTTACTGCTGTTTAGTTAGTTAAATAATACTAAATGCCAAATACACTTAGTATTAGCATTTTTATTGTTTCTTCGAGTTCCCAGAAAACATAAGGCCCCAAGTTTCTGAACTTTCCTTGACGAAGGTTCTATTTTTATGAGATGAGGTTGGTAGCTTCACGCCCTATCTTTTTATTTTCAACGGACTTACTTCCTTGTTAGTAAGCTAAGCAGGGTTTAGGAATGTGTTGGCTGGGAGTAGAATCTCAACCATGTACCCGGTTGGTAAGGATGCTACCAGTGAAACACCGACACTAATATTACCATTGGATATCAGATATTAACATGAATCCAGTTAGTCCTGGGAATGATAACTTCTTCAAAACAATATTAGAAATACATCAATGGGTAAACAATGAAGCCCTAGGATTCACTGAAATAAAATGCAATGGCTGATGGTATTCAGTCTGGACCAAACAATGGACTCGATGCATGATATTAGTCACTGCCTAGAGCCCAATCAAAGTCTAATTACAAATAGAAGACAAAGTGAAATATTTGATGGTAAGGCTACCTAATGTAACTTTAGGCTGTTAAACTGTTATTATTTTCAGGGGTTGGTTTACAGGGATTTGATTCACTTCAGCACTGATCATGCAGTGAAGCGTCAGTTAGAGAACCATTTGAAACCCACCCGAGGTGGGTAGTCGTAAGCTGTTTCCACCTTGTTCATGACTCTTTAAGTAGGACCTTCAGGTTACAAGGTGAACTCGTCAGCCATTAAGTCACTCGGACGAAATCCAGTGTACCGTCAATGCCAACTTCTTATGAAGAGGCTCTAACAAGGACGAAACTACTTTCCAGTACTCCTTGATAGTTTTAGTGTTGTGCTCTAACTGAAATCGCTTCATAATCAACCTTGAAATCGTTATTAATATAATGGGCGAAATGCAATCCTGATCGTGCCATGATACAAACTAGTCTGCGGCGTTCGAATTACTAGTTCAACGCTCTCTCATTTCACCTTCAGTCATCAATTTTTACATAAATAAAAAGACATTTGTGTTTTATTGAAATGAATTCTTTTTTTGTAAGCACTAAAATCAAAACCAAAATAATCAAACATAAATCGAACACAATCGTAACGATGGCAACAACACAGTGACAACGACTAGAACAACAACATGAACGGTACACAATTACAAGTATTACTTTTTAAAAGAAAAAAATACAACCCATCTTATCCTTCACATACTCACCATTGGTAATTGTGAGGTCTAAGTTTTAGACGAATGTTTTAAACAAAAAAGACCACTAAGATTATTAATTAGCATTTAAATTTAAATTTTTGATTAAATAAACGCTACAGTTTACTTTAGTATTGGCGCATAAAACAACTTGAACAGTCCGTTAAATGTTTCCAATATTAAATAAATACCTATAATTCATACAATGCAGACCTTCATCGACCAAAAAAGAAATAAGGAAGCCAGTTAAATTCCTTTGGAAAAGTGTTTCGAAAGTAAGTTATCTTTTTAAGCAATCTACGTCTTATGTAACCTTCAAGTGTTGGTTTCTAGATATTTAAGTGTCTTAAAGGTATATCAAGAAGTACCATTGTAACAACAGAAGACAATGGCCAGGCAACAGATCGTTTATTAAGGAAATTAACAGATATTTATGGCTTTTCATGTACATTATTATACATTATAGTAAGCAAACAAACACAGTCTTCTGATTGGTGGTTTCTCGTTGAACGTTAATCATTCATCTCTTTGTGGCCGTTTGTTGAATGTCAGATCATCTAAATGCTAAGTGTATCTGCCTACGCAAAGTCTGCTGTGGTTGGTTGTTGAATCAGTCTTTGTTCATATTTTCTCACCACCAATATTGAGGACGTAAACATTGACGTAAATAACTGTCTACCAATTTTGGCTAGCAGCCAGCTCTCACCACACCATCAGTTAGCGAAGCATTGTAAACCGGGGATGGAGTCCAATAGCCTACTAGCTAAATAATCAAAGGACTCGTCTCAGGACCTGGAACTCTTGGGTTTAGCCCCCTCCTACCAGCAGACCTAAACTAGGACGAATTAAATGTCTACTACTCCTCAGGTTCTCAAAGGCTCTTTAACTGTTATCAGTGCGTGGTTTGGTCTGTTACGTAATCACCTGTTTCAAGTGCTTACTATTATTAATACCATTATTTATTTTATAGTAAGTTTGGTAAATTATAAGCACTAAAAAACGCTACACATCGACCCAAATTCAGCGGCTAGTGATACTATTAAGACATTAAACATTCTAATGCATTATTATTATTGTTCCCTTGGGTTACTAGTGGAACATAGGGCTTCAACTGCACGCCTCCACTTGCTTCTGTCTTCTGCTATACTTTTCACTTGTATCCATGTTAGTCCATACTGTTTCAACTCCTCTTCACACGATCTCCTCCATGTCACCCTTGCACCGACGAACCACTCATCGCTTCCCTTTCGGGTTCCACTCGAGCAATGGCCTGACCCAACGGCCTTCTCAGAGAGTGTCCAATCCATCTCCACTTTCTCCTGCATATTTGTTGAGCGATTGATTCTTGTTTTGTTTGTTCCCACAGTTTCTTATTGGTGATTCTTTCCGGCCATCTGATCTTCAGTACAGAACGAAGACAGCTGTTGATAAAGGTATGCAACAGGCTGTTGGAAATATTCTTTGTGACCTGCCAAGTTTCTGATCCGTATAGAAGAACTGACTTGACGTTTGCATTGAAAATCCGAATTTTGTTGTTGATGCTGGGTGACGAAGATTTCCAGATTGGTTTCAGGTTGATGAATGTGTTTCTCGCCTTCCCGATTCTCGATTTGACATCCTCGTCCGTTCCTCCTGTAGTTGAGACAACGCTCCCTAGATAAGTGAATGAAGTAACCTCTTTCAAATCCCTCCCGTTGATGGTGATTGGCGCTGGACGTTGCTGCTGCTACTGTTGTTGTTGTTGGTTGGTTATTTTCATAACCTCCGTCTTGTCTATGTTCACCTGGAGTCCTGTCTTTGCTGCTTCTTCGACCAGTTTGTCGGTTTTCGCTTGTAAGTCTTCGATTTTGTGTGACATCAAACATAAATCATCCACGCGCGAAATCCAGGTCTTCTAGGTTCTTCATGTCAGTCTAGGATATCCCTGTCTTCTCGTTTCCCACTGTCCGACGCATAATCCAGTCCACCACAATTAGGAATATCATTGGTGATAATAAGCACCCTTGTCTGACTCCTGCGTTTACTCCAAACGCCTGGCTGAGTTTTCCGTTGTGGATCACTTGACATGTGCCGTTGTCGTACAGCTGTTGAATAAGGTTGATGAATATTTGGGGTACGCCGTAGTACTTGAGTTGTTTCCAAATTACTTCGCGGTCAACGCTGTCGAAGGCCTTCTCAAAGTCTATAAAGTTGAAGTTTGAATCTCTATAGAATTATACACTTATAATTTTCATACGCGATTGAGCTTGAAGTCACTTCTGACTAACATAGTGAACTTGATGGTCTTCGAAACTAACTTTGAGAGGGGAATTCACTTTATCTTAATTAATGAATCTGTAATTTCAGTTTAGCAATGACTTTCTGTCTCATCTATTTCTAAATAATGCAAAGAAGCCATTTGCTGTCCGTGATGTGACTTATTCTAACTCTCCATAGATTCAGCGAAAGTCCCCAAGAAGCGAGGGAGGGACACAGGATTGTCTTCTAACATCAAAAGGTGCAAAGTAGTCAAACTACGCACCCCAAACTTGCATTCCCTATCTGCCTTCTGTATTTTAATGAGTAAATAAAACAGGTTGTTCCGAGGACAGGCTATTTTTGGCGAATTCATTTGCTTTACCCATGCATTCTCATTGTTGCACAATATTTTTCACAGAAGATGATAGTGGAATACGACATGATTTGTCACAATCATAGTTGCTAAAACTGATCAATACATAAGCTGAATAAGGGTGTTAGAATTACATAATATGATATGCATCTTAATGAATGATTACTGATCAGAACGAGCATTGAAACGAAAGAAAACTTGATACTACATAAACATCAGGAAGAGTTATGAAGCAAAATAAATCAAGTTGGTTGAAAATAGCAGTGCTAAAGCTATGATATTTGAAGTAACCCAAGGATTCTTTCCTATATATTCAAAGCTCCATTTTCTACATCTAGGTGGCTAGAACTTTCAGCAATGCAAGGGAGACGAAAGGGTATTGTCTTCGACTAGTCATTGTTCACTTTGTAGATCATCCTGAAAGAATAATTTAGTCAGACGGAATGACTAGTGTCGTCAGAGTGTTCAGTTATTGCACTCCTTATGGGGTAATAGCTGTCTCCAAGCCAAAATTGTAGACAACAATTTACGTCAATATTTACATCCCGAATCGGGGTCATGACAAAAAACAATAACAAAGCTTAACCTTGAGGAACTCACCAACCAATCACAGAAGACTTAACGTGTGCAAATACGATTCGCAGATATTTGGCTTAGCTTTCGAAGAAACGGTCACAAGCAGTACAGAATAAACTTCAGCAAGAAAACAGCCAATCGGAAGATGCTGTTTCTATTCTGACACTAAGACTAATAATAATGTACATAAAAATCTATAAATATCTCTTGATTTTCTCAATAAACTATCTGTTGCCTAGCCCTTACACTTACAAAGCTCCTGTTAATTTCTATAGCTATACAGCATAGGTGTCAAGCGATAAATATTGTTTGGGCTCAGTGTTCAACTGTCCCACTGGCCATTATCATTCGTCAGAGTAACATGAATCTATAATAGACATCTTTATTTATCTTAACGCATCAAAACTAAACGAAATACCGAAATGAATATTACTTAATTGCTCCATCAGTCTTATCTTCTTTGTAGAGTATTACTGTTAATTATCTGACGTAGGTGCTGATCCTTGTAGCAACTGTGGCTGCTTCATATTTTGAAAAATACTTCTGTACTCATTCTAAGTTCCTTTTTAGGTTGAAAGAAAGTATCCAGCTACACTTTCCTCAATGAAATCAATTGTACATTGAGATGTTGAATAGAATACAGAGGTTTTTAGAGTGTTTTTTTTATTGCAATGTAACTACTCCCTCTGCAGAATCTACAGTTGGCATAATAATAGACAATATGTCATTTGAAACAACATTTTGGTGTGGTTGTGTTCTCTGAGCTGGATGGTTTGGTTGCGAAGCTTTCATTGCTCTACTGAGCAACATCTTCAGCGCATACTTCGATGTGAAGTGAGCTTTCAGAATTCTCTATGAGTTTATTAGTCATCTCTTCTAGTAACCCTGAACGTGATTGGTTGTTTTCGTGTGACATTTCATCCCCTAGTTTGCTTGTCTCGGTGCTGGCTGCTTCTTTGGTCTGAATGTCGTTAGTCATTCCTTCTGCTAACCTTGAACGTGATTGGTTGTTTTTGTGTGACTTCTCACTTTCTAGTTCACTTGTTTTGGTGTTGACTGTTTCCTTGACCTGAAGTTTGACTTTGTTTTTGTGTGAATTTCTTCGTATGGATTGGTATATTTTGTCAATCTCTATGTGTCTATTGATTGCTGATTCATTTGAATACCAGGCCTCTAGGAATTCTCTGGCATTTTTGCAGTTCCCTTTTTCTAAGATTTGAACATTGTCCCAGTCGAATTGGTGCCCGTGGTTGTCTGCATGTACCAATTCGACTGGGACAATGTTCAAATCTTAGAAAAAGGGAACTGCAAAAATGCCAGAGAATTCCTAGAGGCCTGGTATTCAAATGAATCAGCAATCAATAGACACATAGAGATTGACAAAATATACCAATCCATACGAAGAAATTCACACAAAAACAAAGTCAAACTTCAGGTCAAGGAAACAGTCAACACCAAAACAAGTGAACTAGAAAGTGAGAAGTCACACAAAAACAACCAATCACGTTCAAGGTTAGCAGAAGGAATGACTAACGACATTCAGACCAAAGAAGCAGCCAGCACCGAGACAAGCAAACTAGGGGGTGAAATGTCACACGAAAACAACCAATCACGTTCAGGGTTACTAGAAGAGATGACTAATAAACTCATAGAGAATTCTGAAAGCTCACTTCACATCGAAGTATGCGCTGAAGATGTTGCTCAGTAGAGCAATGAAAGCTTCGCAACCAAACCATCCAGCTCAGAGAACACAACCACACCAAAATCATCCACCTGAGCTACAAATCTTCTCTATTATATCTAAATCATACGAAACAACATTTTTTTATCCAAATTTGCTCGAATACTCCGCCAACACAATCTTCCTTCTCCATCTCCTTCAAAACTACCACAGAAAGCTCTGCTTAAAACTATTTGAAAATGTGCTGGAGTATAGATTGAGATACATAGATATAATTAGATGATTAAAACAATGTATGAAATCGAATAGAAATAGGATACATTATGATGGATTGAATAGTTAGGTAACTCAGTGATTTAAGCAGGCCGCCGCCACTCGATAAGTATACATTGGTCATATAGGACATAAAATGTATTAACATACGGCAGTTAATCTGTATATACATTTAGAATAAAACTTACCATATCTTCATGAATATGCTTTCTATACAATGCCAGTATACCAGCTTTTAATTGTTTCGGTTCTTGAATAAATCCAACACAATTGAATAAATCTGTTTTCAGTCTACGAACTAATGACTCGACATCTCTAGTTGCTTGGCGTTCAAGTTTCAATTCATGTTCAACTGATTTATACTTTTGTTTTAATTCAGCAATATTTATTTCAAGTTGATCATTTTGTTTATGAAAACGTTCTAATTCACCTTCCATCTAATGAGACAAAAGAAACAAAACAAATAAAAAGCCCCAGTAGATTAGTTATTTTCTATACCTTTAGACTGTTATGTATACTTATTCCAGTGGGTTCCGAGTGGAACATACGGTTTCAGAACACCATCTTCTTTGGAATCCATTTTTCGGCGGACTCCACGATTGCCCATAAGCCTTCATTTCGTCCTCATATAATCTCCTCCGGTGTCACCCTCGGACGTCCAACTCGCCTCAGGTGTTCTGTTTGCGTTTCACTCAGCAGCCTTCCTAGAGCGTGGTGTCACTCAATGGTCACTTCAGCATGTGACCAATGGATCTCCATTCCCTTCGGCACATTTTTTGTACGATAGGTTGGTGGTTAGTTCGTTACCAAAAATCCATGTTGCTCAACCCTTCTCGCTGGCTATCTGATCTTTAGTGTGATGGGAAGGCATCCGTTGGTAAAAGTCTGCAACAGGCTGTTGGAAATGCCTTACGTAATGCATATATCAAGTATTTCAACCATGAAGAAACAATTAGTGAGGTATTATTAGCGTTGGAGACTCGAGTCTTGTTTTTTGTGCTGAGTGCCATGGATCTTCAGATTAATGAAGGTCTATCTTTCTACACCAATCCTTCCTTTGATATCCTGTGGTTTCAAAATTTCTACACAGCGCCAAGTAAATGAAGGAAAATATTCTCCCTGGGTTTGTACTATCGGTAGTGACTGATGCTTGCTGTTACTGTTTCAGAACGTCCATGTCATATCCTGAAGTCTCTCAGTCAACCTGGGAAACTTCGAAGTTAGAATAAACTTAATTTCATTGCAAGAAAATGTCCTTTCTAGTAAATACCTTATGATTATGATAAAAACTGAGACATGTTATATCACCATGTGAAATAGACTGATTTAGAATGACAGAGAGTATAAATCTTTCCCAAGTGACTGTTACTTGTGACTAATTCGCATCATAATAACGACTGAAGTAAAATCAAGACCCAATTACTACTTATGTTTCATAAGTAATATAATAAATTATCATGATGAAATTCAGGAAGCTGATAGTTCGACGCTTATAGTGAATCAGATTATCCTCTCTACATTTTAGTCATTAACGTGACTGTATAAAAATCAGTTTACTAAACTGAAAATAATTCTGGATCAATGGTGGTTACCAGTCGAGACAAGGATGGGCATTTCGTCCTATTAGGAACTTGTAAGGTAGACATATATATCCCCAGTGAGTGATGATGTCATCACTGCTAATTGAACTCACCACCCGCTGTTTCAAATGCGAAAGCTTTGGCCACAAGGCCTAATGCTAAATATTTATCTGACAAATCCCTTATAAGGGGATAAACATTGTCGATTCCACTGATAGCAACTATCAATCAAATAAAATAATTATATTTCACGGTTTAAGACAGAATTTATACCGGATATCTAACATTTCTGCTACTTGGATCATTCTGATATTCAATACGCGACATTTAATTGGTTTTTGACTAGAGAAACAAAAAGTCTGTGTTTATATATGTGAACAAATGAACAAATAGGTATTATAATATCTACAAAATATTTTGAGAAAAACCTCTGATAAAGACAGTTAACAACTAAAGGATGGTAAATCAATAAAGCCTGAACTCAAAGGAATTTATTTGCATACAAGTTGTATTAGAATCACTGATAAGAAACCAAAAACAAGTGTACAATCAACGGAAACTGAGGCATAACAGGCGTGTAAGCAAAGCGATTAAATGGATTAACTTGTTAGGTTATGTGGCAGACTTTGGGGAGTGAGAAAACTGGAATCCGTTGGACTGATAAGGAGACTCTAGAAGATCTGTACTTTAGGGACGATTTATGTCTAGTGTTACATGAATTCGAAGACTTACAGGCGAAGACCAACAAGTTGTCAGAAGAAGCGGTGAAGATAGGACTTCAGGTTAACATAAATAAGATGGAGGTGATGCAGATAACCTACCAAAAACCAGCATCAATCACTGTCAATGGAATAAATAAACGTTCCTTCACTTATCTAGGCAATGGCATTACAGATGAGAATGTCAAAGGTAGGGTGGGAAAGGTAAGACACGCCCTTATCACTCTGCAATCAGACTGGAAATACTATGCACTCAACACAAAGAACGAAATTCTGATATTCCACACCAATCCTTATTCACTTCTTCTATATGGGTTAAAAACTTGGCGCGTTACGTAAATCAGAATTTTACCAACAGCTGCCTTCTCTGATTCCATACTAAAGATCAAATGGCCAGAAAGAATCAGCAACAAGAGGCCCTTGGAATGAACCTATCAGGAACCCATTGCTCAACAAATATGTCGAAAAAATGGAAATGGAAACACTCTGAGGAGACCGTTGAGTGACATCGCGCGTTAGACCCTTGAGTAGAATCCGAGTGGAACGCCTGCGATGAGTTAAGCTTTTGAGGGTGACATTGGGGAGATCGTGTGAGGAGGAGATGAAAGCTTAAAGACAATCGTAGAGCCATCTGAAGAGGAATACAGAGAAAAGAAAAAAATGGCGAAGTACTGCTGAAGCCCTATGTTACATTCGGAACCCAAGAAAATAATAATAGGGAAAGCGATTTAATGGATTAACTCACTTCTTGAATTTGTTCTTTATAATTTTTGATATCATTTTCTCTTGGTTCAATTTGTTTTTTCAATTCTCTAATTTTATAATCTAATACATATTTGAATTTTTCTAATTCTTGATTCTTTTTCTTTAAATCATAAATCCGTTTCTCCTAAAATGTAATTAATTTAATGAAAAGGCAATGATAAAATTAATAAAAACTATCCATATAACTATAGAAAATATTACTATTCAGATAAGGAGATAAGGCAAATGAAAAGGATTTTGATGACGTGTCAGAGTACGTCCGCATACAGTAAGTGTTCCTTCTTAGTACACATTTACAAAAAGTTTAGGCAATTAATAAACTACAGAGAAAATGTAAGGTAAGCAAAAAGCCACACATTTTATATCCCCCTATTTATCAGTCCTCAGGTCAATTATTTATTCATATAATTGGTTAGTTAGTTAGCTAGCTGATATCAACAGCTTATGCATATTACATAATGCAATCTAACCGGATATTTAGAAAGGATAATGTAGTCCCTGGATAACGCAAAGATGGTACTGTTGAATATCACTTGTTGAAGAGTAATCTGGCTGTGTAATGATATTAGTGAGATAACCTAACCCCTTGTAAAAGTCAAAGATACTCTACAGTATTTATAGCAAGTTGCCTGAACACAGTAAGAAATCAATAACGAGTTATATATTTATGAAAGAATCTATTACAAAGAGAATCTATTGAGGTTCTAAAAATGAAGTTATTTACATGTGCGCTCCATAGGTGAATTTCAAGTTAACACTGTGACATGAATTCAGTCTTTTATTACTCCGCACAACTGTAAAGAATCTCATCCTCATTCATTCTTATAATTTGTCCTATGGAAATTTTGGACTAAAGTCATTAGCCTCATTTTGGTATACCGGGCTCCTTCAACGGACACATCAATATTAGCATTAACCTAAGATCACTTATGAGGGTTTCTGAATAATGTACTGGGTTGTGAGTTCGAGTCCCAGTGGGAATACCATCATTCATTCCAAATAAGACGAAAATGTGCTTGTTGTATTGTAGTACTCGGTAACATCAAGTGTAATAACATCATTATTTAAGTTTAGCTAAGGAAAATAGTTATCATAAGGCGACAAAATCGTCCATTTGGAGCTAGGTCATTCAGCTCTGAAGGTCATCTTCAAGACTGAATTCAATCACAGTCGAACAGTTTACATTTTCGTCACCTTTATACACAGACATCTCTGAATAGAACAAAAGCCTGAACATGATATTCTAAAGAGTTTAGTAAACCGATTAGGTAAGCACAGAGGGAGAAAAGTAGTTACCTTGTCTTGAATAGTTTCATCTCTTTCTTGTACTTCTTTTCTTAAACCTTGAATATCTTTTTCCTGATTACGTATAACTGTATTCAACTTTTGTGTTTCTGCATGAAACTTCTTAATCTCTTCTTTATGATCATCAATTTCTTTTTGTAAACTAGAGAATTTCTTTTTCATAATACCTGATTCACCTTTCAGTCGAGCATTCACTTCACGTTCATCACGTAAACGTTTTTCATATTTAATTTTAATTTCTAAAATTTCACGATCTGTATCTTCCTCGATTAAACGTTTCGATATTTCATATTCATTGGTTTGTTCTTTCAGTTCACGTGTTAAATTTTCCATAGCAATATTTTTATCATTAATTTTTGATTCATAAAATTCAGTTGTCTCATGCAGCAGACGTTCTTTATCTGTTTCCATATCATGTAATTGTTTCTCATATTCAATTTCTTTACGTTGTGATAAATTCTGTAATTCTTGATATTTTTCATATTCAATAATTAATTTTTGATTAGATATTGATTCTAAATTTTGTAATTCTTGACTATGCTTTTCTATGACTTCTTGTAATTGTACAAGATGATGATTTTCTTCACGTTCTTTTTCAGTTTTTAGTAATTGATTTTTAGTTTTTAGTGTTTCCATTTCTTGAATGAATTTTTCAGTTAATTCTTTAATACGTTCATTATAATTCATATCTTTAAGGCGTAGTTGATATTCATTCTCCATTTTTAATTCTTCTACACGGGTTTTTAATTCAGACATTATTAAATTCTAAAAGGTTTTATAGGAAAATAATATAAAAACTGATTAAGTGGATAAAAGTTTCAGAAACAATTTTGTGCTACTAAATATTAGTAAGTAGTAAAGTAAATTTAGTACAAAATCCAACGCCTCCTACACTATCACTCTCACTCGTTTATTAAATTGTTATTTATTATTCACAGTTAAAACTTTCTTTGATATATATATATATACTCTGTGCTTTGAGGTACCTGTTACGAATGCATAGATTTTCAGGGGTAGGGTCGCTAGCTTCAACTTCTCCTGTTTTCCTGGGCTTACGGCCACATAATAAGTTGTTCAGGCGAAATCCAATGTGCGTCAGCCATTCCACCTACCTGAAATGTGCAGCATCATTCCACCTACAGGTTTCAAAGATGAGGATGTCAAAGCCAGCCAGGAACGGGAAGGAGAGACAGTAGTTCATTACTCTGAAATGAATATGGAAATCTGGTACACTCAGTATGCTGAACAAGATAGGAATTTTCAGTACCAATGTCGAGTCATTACTTGTTTATGATTGAGTAACATTACATGTCACATAAAGCACTTCCGACAGGTTGTAGACTTTCATTAACAGCTGTCTTTTCTGGCTACATACTGAATATCAGATGTTCAGAGAGGATAAGTAATAAGGAACTCTGGTAAGGAACCAACGAGGAACCTATAACCAAATAAATATGATGCATTAGGCATACGTTGTGGAGACTGTTGAATAACATCACGCCCTAGACAGTGTGAATAGGGGTCTGATCCCTCAGAAAGTAAATATACGAATACTTAGCTAACTGGCAAAGCACTGTAAATTTGCAAGCGTGAATTAAATGTAGTGAGTCCCTCAGTTATAAATGATTTCCTAGTATGGAACCCTGCAGCAGTACTCATCAGTGACTCTATTAGAGATCGAGCGTAGGATATTTCGGTTACAAATTAACCATGTCACTATTCGGTCACTGGATAAAGCTCTTGGTTTTCACTCAGCCGGCCTTCGTTCGAAACCCGCTCTGCGTACTTTAATCTATGCAACTGACTAAAATCATCAGCGCACACGCGATATGACTACTCATGGACTGTTCTAGATACCTGAGTTTCAGCAAATCATTACCAATATTCAAGTGTTGCTTTGCAGGGATTCGATTGGTTACATGATTTTCATCATGAGCTGACATTAGTTGGAGAACCATTGGAAAACCTGCAGGGAATACTGGACAGCTGTTTCGTCCTAATTTTGGACCCTTCATCAGTACGCATCCACCGGGATTCAAACCCAGGACCTCCTGGTTACAAGGCGAGCTCGTATACCATTAAGCCCCTGAGACCCGATCCAATGGCCCATGAATTCTAACTCCTGCCAATTCACGATACAGCGCAACCGCTAGCCAATGTCTTCGGCGAGTATTTGTCCTCGCACCCGACGTGCTGCTGCACCCTACTGGTCACGACTTCTCACTAGAGCCCCAGGTATATATTTCAATAATTTTTTTATCACAAGATTGACGGAGACGATAACATTTGTATAGTTGACTTACTTTTTCTTCTAAATCTGATTTTGTAATTAATATCTCTTCAGTCCAGACAATTTCTTTCTCTGCTTTATTACTACGAGCTTCACGATCTTGTATACGCCAGATCATAACTGAACAGTCATCAGAGACAGTAATTAAGTAATCATCAGCTGCTGCCATACGTGTTTTAGTTACACTACCACAATGACCAATATAATCTTGCCAATCAGAACGTTCTGTCAATGGCATATGAAATGATTTAATGTGACCATTTTGACAACCACAAAATAACATACGTCCAGAACGGGATACAGCGACTGTTGTCAGCAATACATCAGGTGATTCAATCTCACGAATAATCTACAATGTAAACATAAAGAGCAAGGATAAAATGAAAAACAAACTACTTATTTCAAACACATAAACTTGCTAAATGGTTAGTAGAATTACTGCATCCAGTCAAAACACAATTCTGTTAGTATGTGTTAAAAGATACATTTGAATTGGTTGATTTTCTTGACAATATTAACAGTATGAATAAGAATATGTACTCTTTTGATGTAAACTCGTTATTCACGAATGTGCCTTTGCTCAAAACAGTTGACATTTTGTGTGATTACATTTCTACAAACAATTTTTTCATCCCATTCCCTATATCTTATTTAAGGGATTTATTACTTCTATGTACTAACAATGATAGGGTTTACATTTGAAGGCGATTGTTTCCGCCAAGTTGATGGTGTTGCTATGGGAAGTCCGTTAGGGCCTCTTTTAGCAGATATTTATACGTCATACATTGAGAAATTATCAGAGGATTTAATCGAAAATGTGCCACTTTATAGAAGGTATGTAGATGATATTGTAATCATCAGTGATAATTCTTGTTCTGCAACCTCAATTTTAAATCGAATGAATGAAGTTCAGAATAGCATATCACTTACATCTGTAGAAGAGGAAGATAATTATTTATCTTTCCTAGACATATTGTTTAATCGACGGCTTGATGGGTCAATAAAATGATCTATTTATAGAAAACCTACTTGGACAGAACAGTATCTTAATCACCACAGTTTCTGTCCTGTTCGGTACAAAAGAGCCTTAGTAAGGTGCCTCTTCATTAGAATCCAACGAATATGCACTGAAGACACACTTGATGAATAATAAAGAAAGTTGACACAAACTATGGTTGATATTAATTATCCAGACAAGTTCATCAGGAGACATAAAGTAGTCAGTGGAACACCAAGACCCATTCTCCAACTTGCCCCTAAGAAAGACGTGTACATCAAGCTACCCTGTATGGGGCATCAAAGCAGCTTGATAACTAGACAAAGACTGAACGCTGCTGTCAAAAAGACTTTTTATGCAGCTAATATCATAATTATAGAGAATGTAAAGCCAATATACCTATCTAAGCCCTTCGAACATGCGAAAAATGATGTAACATCCCATCGTATTTACCAATTTGAATGTACGTGTGGACACACATACATAGGGAGGACTCATCGATCTCTGCAAGTAAGGGCTGGCTTCAGAGCATTTTCCTAAATGGCTCCAGAAACAAATGGAATCTTCAGAACCTATTAACGGTGAGAAAAGGAGACCTAGCTCTTCTATTGCGAAACATATTATAGAAACAGGACATAAAATTGACGTTAAGACATCTTTTAAACCTATCTATAAAACGTGTTTGGGGCATATCTTAAAGTTTGTGGAAACCCTAGATGGCAATTAGAAAGTTTAAGCCACCTTTATGCGTTCGAAAACAAATCGTCATCACACTAAACTTTCCTCGGTAAATTTTGTTTTGATACCATAGCAGATGTACTAATACCTCTGCTTTTTGGTTTAGTGGTCTTCATTGTTATTCTGACCTTTAATATGTCCTTTAAACTTGACCTAAGTCTATTTTCTCACCTCTTAACTCTGTATAAATTTCATATATATTCCTATGACAAGTCCGTGAGTGATCAGATTGTTCGAAATGTGTTGCGCAAATACATTACACGATTCAGACAAATTACGTCTTCTTATTGCTTCATCTATTGTATTATACATTAATTAGGATACAGTATATTAGACAAAAATATTGTCTTCAATAACTTATTCCTCTGGTACTACAAACATAACAATGAATTATTGAGTTACAGGTTAATAATGGCTACCGGTAGAACCCAGGAGGCGCCTTTCTTCCTTTTCGACACCAATCATTTGAATGTATTTGCATCTCCAGTGGGTCACTGTGTTACTTCTGAGGCTCAAATTAACTCACTGTTCATTATGTCAAACTCTGAAGTGTTGTCAACCAGCCTGTTGGATCATTAGTGTACTATGGGAATAACCAAGTGCAAATTCGACTGTTTCGGAATTCACTTACAAGTAAAGACTAACGTGATAGACAAATAATAGTAATGATAAACTTGAATAGTTTAGTTTTCTTTAATATAGAAAAGTTGAGTGGGAATCGCCTAATAGGAGTAGATTTTAGCCTGGTGATAGTTGCAAAAGACAGTCGATATATGTGTAGCTACTTTGTATCCCAATTAGACCAGATAATAATAATTTGCTTTATTCCAAAACAGTAATTGTGATACAGAATAGAATTCTCAGCATTTTTACTACAGTATTGCATCCAGTTAGTACATTATCAATGAATAGAATTCTACATAGATTAAGGAAATCTCAGTTCATTATGACAACAACATATTAGCATATCGGTAGCAAAGCCAAAGTTGAACAGTGTTTGAAGGTATTAGAAAAGTAGGTGCTATCATATTTACTGGCATAAGCGAGAGAACGAAACAAAGCAGCACATAACGAAAAAAAAGAGAGAGAAAGAAAAGGAAAAGAAAGAAAGAAAATGTTGTACCTATAAATGATATGAGTTGGAAAGACGGGGTCCAGTTGTTCTACTGACTATTTAATGAATTATAGGTGTCACGCCTAATGCTTTCTTTATCGCACAGAACACGAGCTAAGTAGGGTATGGTTGAGTTTTTGTACTTGCTGGTGCGAGCATATAGTTTTCTATGTAGGCTTCTGGTCCTGCCTGATGAGATACAAGGAGAGAGTTGTGAATGAAGAGGGTGGTGCGAGTTAGATAAAATGGATTTAGCCCATTTTTCACATGAGTCCATATGCATGTCAACCAGAATATTAACAAGCTGGTTAAGTGGCACGTTGCTTACCCTGCTGATAACCTTTAACATCCTGCGTAATATGTTATAGTCTTTCTTCAGTAGCCTGGGATAAACTAAGGGGGAACAATAGAGAATAATAGGC